CCCCGCCTCTCGAAACGAAACCGTTCAATTGGAGCTCAGATTCCGGCGTCAGTGGTGGAGATTTTTAGTTTTAAGTTAGGTTACCGCATCTTGAACTGCACCCTACATGTTTATAACAAAACATGGGCGAATTTTAGTTATTTTAAGAAAAGAATCAAAGTAAATTAGAACGTTTTAAAAAACATGTGAATTGCAATGTGACAGTTAGAATTAAAAAAGAACACACGTACATAAGCAAATACGATCAACACCATGAACAGCTGAGATAACCGGTTCGAGAAGGTGGCGCGGTTACGAGGCAAAAGCGATGAATCGATAAAATCCATTTCTAATCCGCAGAGAATTCGTTTAAGTGAACGTCACAGAATCTGCTTCACCTCACATCGCCTACGAGCCATTTTCTGCCAATGAAATCTACAGAGGCGGTGCACTGTTGTATTTTTTGTTAAGGAAGACCAAATTTACGACAAAATTAATATTTTACACTATTGTAAAGTACAGGTTTTGCGAGTGCTATTTACCTTGAAACCAAACCATCTGCCTTAATTATACTAAGCTCATGCAAAACCTTCTCAGGTTATCTTAATAAGTTTATAAATAATCCACCTTAAAATATCTATTTTTATCCTAAATCAAAGTTTTTAATGCGTGATGACATAAATATAGACAAGAACCCGTAAAGTAAAGCTGTCCCACTATACGCCATGTTCTCTCTTGAGGGGGGAGAGGTTGTGTAGACCATCTCAATGAAAACAACAGTCCCTACGCACAGAAACAAATCTTCTGATACTTGAACGTGCATCTGCCGCGTGTTGAACCCGTTTCTGTTACTTGTCTGTCCTGTTCCGTTCTTACCCTACTCTCCCGTACGCAGAAAGAATTTGTACTCGCCGTGCTGCGTCGGCAACTTCTCCGACAAGCCCGTAATGCATGTAGCCTAAACAGATTGATACAGGGATCACGCTGTGACCGCTGGCAAGACGCTTTCGTAACAAAAGTAGGTACATCAATGTACTTTATCCTTCTATATAAGTGGCTTGTGTCAAACAACACCTGGTTTAT